AGCTGATTTGCAAGGAGCAAGGTGTGTTTTCAGACCGTGGATGAGCTGATCATGTATCCCCCCATCTGCCAGATACTCATACCCCACCACACTTTTCTCAGGCCAACGATCGTTGTGTTTGTTAATGTTAGTGCTGTCTTGACTCGTTGGAGAAGTCCCTGGTCTTCATTTGTCTGTTAGATAAGGTAACCTGGGAGAAGTTTGTTAATACCTTTAAAGGCCCATTCAAAACATCTCAGGTAGAGTAAGGGTGTACAGCCACCTTTTCTCATTCGAAACCAATTTCGCGAACGATGAAATTATTGAGACAGCTTTGAAGAAATTATGATGATGGTGATGTAGATCATTGTTGTCTTTGTTTGATTTCTAGCATCCGGTGGAACAGAACGTATTTAGGCGTGGTGGACTTCATCATTCGTTGAGTGTGGTCATATTAAAACACCGGTCACGGTGGCTTGAACATTTCTTATGAATTTCGTTCCAGCAACTTTGAAACCATAAACTGTTTGTTCTACCTTGGACTGGTTGGAAGGAGCAGAGAGGTGGCCGGTGTATAAAATGGCTCCCTGATATGAAGGATAGTTGTGTTGAGTTAGCATCCCGTCCCGTACTAGGACGCAACAGCTGTCCAGTGCTCCCAGATTTTCAATGGTTCCCCAACTGATGTCAGTCCATGATGAATACTACTTCTAAATTAAGATATAATCAAACGCGATATCAAATATTTTCGTACAAGAAGTTAATATGCCGAACCACTCCTATCAGTTTGGTTTGGAAAATCAACTGAGTGAAATTTTCAAACTTGGATATTTATGTCATCCACTTATCAAACGTATTAGTAGGATAGGATGACTATCACTTCATGCTTTCTAGATGGCATAGTTGATTAACGCACGTCCTGGATTCTTCTGCTAGCCACAACCAAGTAATGATCATAGTTGATTAACTTGAAATAATGATCATTAAGCATCTTCTACTGCTGAAAAGTAGTGAATTTTTTGTTTTAACAGTATCTTGCTGGACTACCCTTCTAAACACACTATTCTTATTGTTTTCGTTCTTACTTATCTACTTTCCATCGTGTATGTCTTCACAATGTTGTTATACTATTTTGTGTGGCGCATTTCTTGGTGTCCTTGCTATACCATGTCTATTTTTGTAATATAATAATGGTAATAATAATAAATGCATTCAGTAGGAGTAAGTCTGTAGTATCGCCATCGAAATCTTTCCATCTTTTTACTTCCACACTCATTGTTTTGCCACTTGAACTAGACACTTTTTACAGGCTATCGCAGCTGAAGAGAAACAAAAGTTTATTTTGCAATCATTTCAAGTCACTGTCAGTTGTATAACAATTGAGAATATGTTTCTACTGGATAAGTGTGTCTATATACTTGGAAACTACTAACCAACGATGCATACTAATGACTCATTTCGATGGGCAACTGTAGCGCTTTTTGTAAATGAAATTAGGATGAGGTTATTGTAATCAAAGAGTATGTATACCGAAATGTAACACTAATCCATGAATTATAAAATATAAAAATACCACTCAGGAACCACATGCTTATGTATACAGAGAGCTACTAACCTGCAATTTCATGTTACAGGTAAGGATACTGTTGGGCCTCTGTTATCTGGGTAGATAGAATAGGCTTCTGAAAACTAACATGCTGGTTGAAAGTTATCCATCTAAAACAGTAAGCTATATTTCTTGAGACAATTGAAATTGATTACTCAAAGTCGATAGCAGTGTGGTAGATGCATCTATACTTCATTTTCAACCAGATTTGGGAAATATTACGTTGCACCTTACCCACCTCAGTATCTTTCTCTTTCTTCTGGTTTCAAATAACTTTCGATATCATCACTTTCATTCCCCTCATTGTTTTTCTCTCGATTTTTCTGTGAAATGAGATCTTTTCTCGTTTAGATTAGGGCTACTTAAAAGATTCACACATTATCTAAGAGCATATTGTGCTACTAGGGACGAAGCTACAAAGAAAATCTTCACGTCAGCCATCATGACGACATGGGAGATATCGAGCAACATCCCTGAAGAAACTTGTGTGGAAGAACACTGGAACTCTTTGAAAGCTATGTGGAAAAAAACCTGCATACCCGTATTAGGAAGGAAGAAGAAAGAAAACAAGAAATGGATCTCCACGGATACATGGGAACTGATGGAGAAGAGAGAGGAAGATGGTGAATCAGAAAATGAAGCAGTGCAAGGATGAACGACGAAAAGAGTAACTCAGTACAACGTATAAAACACTGGACAAAGAAGTGAAGAGGCCCTTTGAAAAAAGCGAAAGTCCTGAATCCCACAAAACTGATTAAATTCTGGAAAGCAGCAGGACCAGATAGAATCCCGCCAGAAGCATTGAGAGCAGACGCAGAGACAACAGCGGACATGCTGACACCACTATTGCAGAAGGTCTGGAAGGAAGAGAAGGTACCTGCCGATTGGAAGAAGGGCTACCTTGTCAAACTTCCAAACAAGGAAGACCTAAGTCTTTGCAAGAACTGGCGTGGAATCGCGCTCCTGTTCACCCCAAGCAAAATATTGAGCCACATCATCCTGGAGAGACTAAACAATGCTCTAGATTCAAAACTACGACCGGAACAGGCTGACTGGTTGGCTTCCAGAAGAATAAATCATGTGCGGATCAAATTGCAACACCACACTACTCATCATCATAGAACAGAGTATAGAATGGCAGTCAACCCTCTACCTCAACTTCATCGACTTTGAAAAGACCTTTGACAGCGTCGACCGAGAAGTAATTTGGCAGGCTGCTGCTTCAACACTACGGAATACCACAAACCGTTATCAATCTCATTCAACAACTAAATGAAGACACCACATGCCAAGTGATCCACAATGGAGAGCTCAGTGATGCTTTCGAAGTGAAAACAGGAGACAGGAGTAAGACAAGGCTGACACTTACTATCACCCATGATGTTCCTGATTGTAGTGGACTGGGTCATGCAACAAACAGTGAGGAGCGAGAAGATGGGCATACGCTGTTTGACCGATGAAAAAACCCTAGAAGATTTGGATTTCGTCGATGATGATGATGATGATTTAAGTCTAATGTCTTATCTCACAAACTCGAAGATCTACAGGCGAAAACTAACAAGTTGACAGAAGAGGAGATGCAGCGAAACAGGACTTCAAGTGAATGTAGAGAAGATGGAGGTGATGAAGATACCCAACCAATAACTGCATCAACAACAAGCACCAATCAGTATTAACGGGAGATACCTAAACGAAGTAGTCTCTTTCACCTACCCGCCTAGGCAGCGTTGTTTCAACTACAGGCGGTGTCACAGACGAGGATGTCAAAACCAGGATCGGTAAAGCAAGATAAGCTCTCATGAATCTGAAATCAGTGTGGAGATCTACTGCACTCTACTGCATTCAGCATAAAGCATGAACAAGATCCGGATTTTCAACACCAATGTCAGTCAAGTCAGTGCTTCTATATGGTTCAGAAACTTGGCGTGTCACAGAAAGCATTTCTAGCAATCTACAGACATTCATCAACAGCTACTGCCTACCCTCACTCGATACTGACACACTGAAGATCAGATGGCCAGTAAGAATAAGCAACAAGAAACTCTCGCTGGGCAACGAACCAACGAGGCAAGAACCTATCGTTGAACAAATATGCATGGAAGGAAGTGGAGATGGATTGGGCATACACTGAGAAGGCCGACTGAGGACGTCACACGCCAGGCCAGCCCCTCGAGTGGAATCCAAAGGGGGGACGAGTTGGGTGTCCGAGGCGAGGGTGACATGGAGGAGATGGTGTGAGGAAGAAATGAGAGCTTGTGGGCAGTCGTGGTGCCAGGTTGAAAAGACTGCAGAGAAAGAGTGCAATGAAGGCGTGCTATTGAAGCCTATGTTCCACTAGGTACCAAAGGAATAAATAATATATATATATATATATATATATATATATATATATATATATATATATATATATATATATATAAATAATAATATTAAGCTCCTTAATCACTCGTTCTTGTTGCTTGGCGGTGAATAATATCTTAAAAATGAAATCGGCATTAGTCTTAAAGTACGTCGCTGTGTAATGCTCATATGTGACTTACTCGAGACGGATACCCGAAGGTTCTAATGAGAAGTTATGACCTGTGGGATCAACCAGTAGGAAGTGAATCGCATGCCAATTAAAGTCTTTGGATGGTAGTTTCACTAGATTGCGAATCGACAGAAGCAGGAAACTGTGGCTCATTTAACTCCGACCCAATATTTAAATGGTCAGCGTGTTAGCCTTGAAGCCTTAAGGTCCCGGTTCCATCCCTGGTGAGTCCATGATCACGCACAGATGAGGAGTCTCATACTAAAACGAAACAGCTGTCCAGTGGTTCCAGGTTTGCAACGGTTCTCCATGTGATGCAGTCCGGGATGAGTACTGCTTTAAGAATAGCTTGCTTTTTTTAATATCGAACAAGTAGCGATAAAGTGAAATACTTAGAATTTCTTTTGTTTGGATTTTGAGAAGATGAAAATGTTAAGAGGACAGTTACAATATGCGATTTTGCCTCCAAAATACATCATCCAATCATATGGTTGACGTTATTATTTATCTACTTTTAGATGAGTAACTAGTATTGAAAGTATGCGCAAGATGTTGTGTGGTTGATGAATGTTCTTTCATGGTTTTGTATTTATTCTGCAGCAGAATAATTTGGACTTTTCACTTATTTTGAATAGCCAATATAATTTTAAATAGACCTACTGTGGCCTACTTTTGATTAATCACAGGATGGAAGGAAACGCCTATGTGACACGCTTTGTTCTTCGTTGGTTGTTCAACGGACTAAGATGGTCCAACTGGGAATTTTTCACTGTTCACAGTACATTTGTAATGCATAGAATACTCTATCATTTGTGTCCACCGTTTCAAGGTTTCACTGTATAATAATTTCATCTTTATTTTTCGCTTCTAAAATAAATTCTGCAGATTGGTAAAGGCAATTTACTACATTATTTGGGTAATGCTGTTAGAGAACAATTCTTACTCAGTGTGTTGAAGAAATGACGTTATTTGTAAAAGATTATGACGGTAAGCTTCGTCCTTTTTAAAAATTGACGATTTCTATAGAAAAAACCCATCTCCAGTAACACCAACATACAGTATTATCTTCAATACCTTCTGTGACAGATGATCGTATCTTCAGTTAGATGTCTTGTTGATAAACAGAAATAAGTTGAATAATGCCATGAACAGAAATCGGACTAGAAAATAGTTTAAACAGTTCTTTTTCACTGGTCTGGTATTACGACTACAATGTCTGAGACCAAAACAAGATCGAATCGATTTGAAACTTTTTATTCATGCGTTGCACATTTAAACTGACTGTAATTCGATGAGTCATTCACATTTCATCAAAATCACACTAGACGTATCGGAACCTATGACGAGTTATCAGATGTTACGTATGCGCCTAGTTACTGCCTGCTGCGTTGTACAGTTTAGGGAACTGGGTTCAGGGTAGAAAAAGACTAGGGGCGGCCAAAAACTAAAACATAACATCATGGATGAAGTCTTTGATTGTTGGTCTGAGCCGTGTAGGAGATGTAGACTTTCCGGTCCGTGTGACATTCGAAATCGGTGGTTGAAGACTCTAGGTGGTATTGCTCAGAATCAATGTCATATGCATCTCACATGATCTCATCCTAGTAGTCAACACAATTTCATTAGTCTCATTCATCAATAATCTCTTGTGATGGACATCTTTAAATCTGATCTCTAATTGCAGAAAAAGGCAATGACTGTTCCATCATTATCTTCATTATTTATTGCATTCCCTATTGTACGTTGTTTTTACTCATTCCTTATTGTTTTTACTATCTGTACTAAATAAATTGTGTAATGTAACATTCATCTATTTGTTTTTGTGCGGCAAATCGGTTACTATTGTTATTATCACCGTTTCTCTTACCCGCTGTTGAAACTTCCAGGATCTTCCTCCCAATTGCCTATAAATAAACAGATCTTATCGCTATTGTATTGTATCTATATTTCCTAGCGTACATGGTTACTTTGTTCGGACACTAAATCTTTTTTTCATTTTATCCCAAAACACTCTTGTATAAAGTCTCTTACTGTTGGTCTGAGCCATTTCGGGCAGAGGAGACTGTTTCTCTGGGGTCCCCGAGACGAAAGGAATCAGTGGTTGAAGAATCTTGGTGACGTGACTGAAAATGGGCCGTAATGATTCAGATATATTCACTCCATGACGTCTTCTAAAGCGTGAATATTTGGAATAGCCGTTATCTCTAAATTGTTTATTCCCTCACACAACTTCTACTTTGATGTCACTCATTTTTATGCATATGTTATTTGTGTACTTCTGTGAAGTGTGGCAACTTGAGCTGATGCACCTATGTGCGAGGTTTTAAATTGCTTTTGTCACTGTCAGTCAGTCACTTATTGCAGACGGTTCACAGCTAAGAGGAAGCTGTGCATTGAGCATGAGCGTAATTTATTCTGCAAATCTTGTTCTTCTTACTTTGTTAAAACTGAGAATATAGTTACATGTGCAAGCGCTTTTCATGACTTGATTAGACACCGCGCTCACTGATTTCTAACACCTGGCAGATATCATTCACAAAGTCTACACTTCATCTCAATCTTTTGACAAAATTTTGGTGATTTCGTGAACAACTTCATTCTTTGATGTGATCAGCTCTCAACAGACTTCTACCACAGACTTGTTCGCCTGTTGGAGTAGTCAGCAGCTTGAAATATTTAACATTATTCGCTTACAGCCTATGAACTCACCGAATTAAGTGCATCTTTTACTGAGGATTATTCAGCCAATATTAAGACTTTTTAATTATGCAGTTTCAACACTTCAGATATTCATAGAATCGAATGTTTATCCTTTACCATTGTGTCCGTTTTGTAGCATTTAAATAAGGCAATAGGTAATAAGAATGTAGTCTAGCGAAAAGGCTGATCTGGATTCAAATGACAATAATCTGTTAAGTTTTTTTAGAGCAATACGAAGAATAAATGAAGATGCCGTTGTTGATCCAACCGTAATCGTTTCGTATCTCAATCTTTTTCCTTTTTCACCATCAGAATAACTCACTTTTGCTAAAACGCGCAATACTCCATAAGACCTGAGTCCTCGGTTGATAAATTCTGAGTTACTGCCACTTTTCGTTCCGTGGTCATATCATGTAACACTGATAACAAATTTGTCGGCTGTGTGAGCTTGTTGCGTTGTCTGGTTTTAACGGTTATTTTCGACAATACAGTGCAGAAAACCAGTGTACATTTGTTGATGACAGTGTTATTGTAAATGGTAGCAACGTGGTGGTCAACTGCTGATATGGAGATAGGGACTAGAGGCATACTACCAACATTTTTGTTCGAATCTTAAAGCTTCTTCATCGTATTATCCCGTCATATTGCGCTGTTGAAAGTATGGTCCTGTAAAGTATAAAAGTAAGTATATGATAGGAACTTGCGAAAATGTCATGTTTAGTCAACTAAAAACAGACAATAAACCTTATAGCCACGTTCTCTCGATCTTTGCACTGAAAAAATTGGCTTTACTTGATACGTCTCTTAATGTAGTGGGTAGATCTGAAGCACTTACCACTGCATCCCATGATTCAATTTTTCCTGTTACCTACATTACTGATGTTTTTTTCATCTATTTGGAAATGATTTAAGTTTTCAATATATGTATGCGAACCAGTCAAGACTCCTTTCTCGACTACTTGGTTCGTTGAAAAATGGTTTGATTTACGAAGTGATCTTGATCCTAAACAACATACACCCACGACCGTCAAGTTTCGTGTTGGGTGGGTAAAAATTCAGTCAAACGTTACAATAGAATGGTCTCCATTTTTTCCCATTCATAATAAAGTGAGATGATCATCACATGTCACCGACAGGTATCTTTGTTTCACGATTTACATTAGAATCACAGAAAATTCACCTCGACGTGAGTCACTAGCAAGCGAAAAATTGTTATCTGACTGATAGGTTCGTTAGGAATCGGTTGGTTTCACCATGTAGTGGGTGCATACTGTCTATTTTTCCGAACCAGGAAGAAATAACTGCCTAGTGTTCCCACGTTTTTGGTTGTTTTTCAGCGAGGTCAATCTATGAAAACAAATGATAATTGCTACGTAGTAGATAATTAGTCTTCCATTCAGTGGAATATCCAATTAACGTTTCCCTAGGTAAAGTTCTAGACTTTAACAACCGTTGTATTTTTGCCAACGTAGACACGTTGCTTAAGCTTAAAATATATTTCTAGAGAGAACTATATGATATGCGTTATTCTAGTTATGCAGAGTACAATTACTTTTTCTAAACACTGAAACCTGTTAACTAAAGTTGTGTAACTACATTTCACTGAAGATTAATCAGTAGAAAAACTAAATTGTTGATGGTCAGTGCGTACTCTAAGTATAGTAACACTGAGTATTGGTTCTTCCATGGGTGGGTCATTGTTGCAGTAATGAAGAGTGAGTACAAAGCATATTGTCTACGCATGTCTTCTAAGTTGTAACGATAACCTGAAGAATAAAAGAAAGTTAAGGTAACACTAGTCGTTTGTTCAACTGAACGCTTACAGGTAATAGGAGATATGTTACAGTGCTATTAAAAAATATCATTTTAATCCATAGACGGTGTCCATTTTCCTCGGAGGCAGACAGAAGAAAAGCTGGCGAAAAAATTACACGAGATGGGAATGATTTAAAGAATTACTTTGAAGAAAAAATGAAAGTGAATAGTGAAGTAAGTCATTTTTGAGCATATGAATGTAAGTTGATGAATATACTTTAGTGCGTTATTTCTTGGTAATCATTTCACTGGATCGACTTCTCAACAAATTGTTCTTTTGTTCGTATGCCCTGATTTCGCCATTGCATTCACTACAATATCAGTTACTGACAGATTACTTCATGGATCTCACTGCTAGCCGCCACCGAGTATGTGAAATTTTACACGCTTAAATAGTTCCATTTTTCTATATTTATTAGGTCATCAAGAGTTTTGTAATAAGCACTGAACTTCAGTTAAATTTGACTGGTATTGTTGTGTCTACCGTTCGATAAGTTTAGTGGTGTATGTCATTCATATTTTTACTTAGAACATTGGCGAACAACGTTTGTCTGCTCTCATTTTCAACTTAATCTCGTGTAATGTATATCGTTATATAAATGCCATCCAAATATGGCGATTTCGATCACTTTGTGTAGTGAAAAATAAAGTGGTGGGTACCATCTATGAATTTATGTTGATATTTTTAAGTTGTGCGCATTGGATTCACAGTATTTCGGTGCATGACGTTTTGTTTTTTACTGCCAATTTACATTATTTTGGTTTTACAGGCCTATCTAGTTTCCAGGTCAACCAAACGTTATTGGACACAAGGCTGGCTTCAAATTGGGCACATATACATAGGAATGGTGTACACAATAGGCCGTGCATTTCTAATACGGAGAAGGCCTCAAAGTCGAGTATCTACCCTTAGCTGCTTACCAGGGACGGCAGCGGTCCTGGGTCTGCGTTATTCCACCAAGGCCGGTCGTATCTCATACTCATCACTTTACTAATGCCGAAAACCCCTCCCATAGTGGTTAGACGGCGGTATCTTTGAGTTTCAGTTCTTACCGCCTGCGTGGTTAGCAGACAACCAACCAGGTTCAGAAGTCAGCTGGTGATTACATCCGAAGACCCATTCATCAACCAGGAGGGATGATATGAGCTTCATCTTTTAAGCGTCCGATAGCGACCGTTTGTGCAGTCAACAGGGTGGACCTCATCATTGCGCTGCGACCCAAATGACATGTACGCCGATCAACTCGATCACCCTCGGGGGAGACACCAGGTATGTAGCCTAAAACCTTAATCATACCTTGGGTGCCTGATGGGATGTACACTATTCCGTGTCCCATGACATGTCAAACAGCATTTTGCTGTAAGAAACACCCTAAGCTTAAGTTAAGTAAACTGGAAGATATATTCATGTAGTTCTAATCAGCCACACCATCACCCAAGTTGAAGTGGGTTTCTTCACTTCGAAACTTTAGTGACTGACGGGAAGATTTGATAATAAGTTGGTTCACGTGTTGATATCTGCTTAACAGCGGGAACTGGTAAACCGTCCACCGTAGTGCAACTATACCACCTCATCTCATGAAAACCTTAGTCGTCACGCAACATCTGGTAAGCGAGACGTTGTGTTATGGAGCATTTAGCTAATACGGCCTAAATATAAACTGTCGACCAGGTGTTTAGATGGCGACTCATAGTACCATCGTGACTGATAGCTGCTACTTTGGCGTGTTGGTCGCGCTTTTGTATCACGGAGACTCAAAGAGCTATGCTGGTACAACGCTTGTTTTCGCCAGGTCATGCTAAACCAGAAAGGTCTGTTGACTATGGGTGAGACAAAAAGCAGTTACCATTTTAGTGTATGTTTCTACGCTATAATGAGAGTCTGAAGGCGAAGTCTGTTGTGATTTGGCCGCTAACGATGTAGATATATCGACTGTCAGCCAACATTCAACAAATTTTAGTTTATTTCCGACCCGATTAATTTATGCAGAAGACATGATGGGCGTGTAGAATTGTGTATTGGGGTCGAAAAACCGAAGACAAGAACAAAGGAAAATATATCTTATATATAGATAGTTCTCCGTTTAAGATAATACTGTTAATTTACTGACTCATCGTCTCTGTTTAACTGTGAATGTGATAATATAAAGTACATTTCTGATGATCTCTCTCCAGACTAATCTTTTCTCTCAATCCCCATATTAAAGTCGTACTGCTGACTAGACGGGCGTGTAACAGAAGTAGGGTGTTTCACTTGAATGACCAGAAGTGCCACGCTGATGATGCCTTACTATGAAAAGGAGGCATTATAAAAGGTCGGTTCCAAAAATAGCACACTCATACCCCCTTGCAGCATGCGGATCTCTGCAACAATGATTCATAGTCCGATTCAAAAGAAAAACATCAATATCTCAAACTGCCCAAAAAGCCGTGTGTGGCCAACCTAGAGCAGATGTCCCTAGGGCTCTGTGGTCACAGGATACCTATCATTTTCAGGTACCTCAATAAGAGCTACCCTTACACAGCATGGGCAGCCGAGAAGTATCAACCACCCTCACGCTTCTAGTAGTACACAACACCCAATTAAACATAACCTATCCTCCTCAACGTTGTCTTCTCTTTCGCCTTCACCTCCTGACATAATATAAAGCCTCTTACACCTTCCCCAACCTCATTCTGCAACTATTGTCAACTATCAAGATCATCAAAAACTCATTCCTAGTCTCCTAAAACCCTATGATCGATTTTATGTTGGAGCTTCCAACGTCCGAATTCGATGCTGAATCAAATAGCAGCAAGTATCGCTCTCCAGAACTCTGAAATCTCTAGCTATGAATGTACATTGTGTCTCTGAGACACGTATACGGGACTGCAGTATGGTTATCAAATTGACCCCAACTTATCAGTTTGGCGAATGTTCAAAATTAATTTTTCGAGTATCCGGAGAACCAATGGACTTGCTGGTGTAGGCACAGCATTGAGCTGTAGAGCAGAAAATGCACTTCTTGGCTGATTACCAGTAAACAGCCGTTTATATGCTGCTCGACTGAATAGATCCGTAAGAGCCAGGAAGGATCATGAGACTAACAGATTCTTATTCATAACCTCCGCCTAATCATCCACCTACCGACGGCAATTCGGATAATGCAAAGAATGAATTCTATGAGACTATGTCAATTTTGTGACAGAAAGCAAAACGTTCAGATGTGGTCATAATGGCAGGTAGACTTTAACGCTCAAGTAGGAAAGCTGAGCCAATCGGTAAGACATTTTGGGGGTACTTATGCAATCTCATTCCAGTCACCATCAACGGGAGAAACTTAAAGGAAGTAACCTCCTTCACCTATCTGCAGGCGGGACAGACGAGGACGTCAAAGTCACAACCGGAAAAGCAAGACAGGTGTTCATTAGCCTGAAACCAGTGTGAAGATCTTCTGTACTCAGCATGTGGAACAAGATCCGGATTTTCAACACCAACGTCAGTCAAGTCAGTGCTTCTATGTGGTTCAGAGACATGGCGCGTTACGAAAGGAATTTCCAACAAACTACAGACATTCACCAACAACTGCTTACGCTGGCTCGTTACTGAAGCTCAGATGGCCAGAAAGAATAAGCAACAAGGAACTCTCGCTGGGCAACGAACCAACGAGGCAAGAACCTATCGTTGAACAAATATGCATTGGAAGGAAGTGGAGATGGATTGGGCAAACACTAAGAAGGCCGACTGGGGACATCACGGCGTCAGGCCAGGCCCTCGAGTGGAACCCCGATGGGAAGCGACGAGTTGGACGTCCGAGGGTGACATGGAGGAGATCGTACGAGGAGGAAATGAGAGCTTCTGGGCTGTCGTGGAGCCAGATTCAAAAGATTTCGAAGAACAGAGTTCACTAGAGACGTGCTACTGAAGCCCTATGTTCCATTAGGAACCCAAGGGACTAATAGTAATAATAAAAATGCAATCTCATGCCAACGAACCGACGACAATGATCGTTTGTTGCAATTTTATCCTGACAATCACCTGTTTCTGGCCAGGACTAACTTTAGGCATACGAAGAGACCCTGTCTTACATGGCATCCGCTGACTTGAAACCAACGATGGACACAGATCATATTGCTATAAGCCATCGTCGGAAATGATCGGTGAATGATTGCCGCTCTTTCTTGAGTACTTGTTTGGACTCCGACCACACGTTATTATAGGTTTGTGTATATCTGCATCTTACTGGTTGACAGAAACAGATAAAAGTAAAGCCTGCTTATGCTTGATTGGAAGTTGAGGACTCCAAATACGTATTTAAGGAGGAGTTAGATCAGCATATATCTGAAGGTGACAGAAATGCTCATCCTGAGAAGACCTGGCATGATATTAAGTCTGTTGTAGAAACAGTGGTAAAGTTGGTAACCTACAGCGGAAATTTAGCAAAGATTATTGGATTTCCGTGACGTCATCAAGATTGATTGATGCGATAAAACTGGTACCAGCTGGCTCTGACCACGACGAGGAGCGAAAGAAACGTAAAAGTAAGTTGACCAGGAGTCTTCGCGTCGATCGCAAGCAGCGATATCTAGAGAAAGCGAGAGAGGTGGAGAAGACATCAGCGTTGGGTGACACTCGGCAACTTTCTAAGCTTATTACAGATAACAGCAAGAAGAAGACCATGTTTAGTGAAACCATCGCTGAGAAGAATGGAAAGCCGATAACTTCCAAGGACAGGCGGCTAGAAGATTGAGCAGAGCTCTTTGAAGCATAGTTCAACGGTCCCATAGAAACGCTTCAGTTGCCCAATATTCAACCTGAACGTGAATGGGACGTAGATGTCACTCTTCCAACTTTCTTTGAACTTGAGAAGGCTTTGTCGAACGTGAAACAATGCAAAGCAGCAGGCCGTGACAGTTTCCATCTGAAGTTTCCAATGATGGAGGTAGGGAATTGCTGGGTAAAGTGACGGGGTGCTAGGGGTAGTGTATGGGAATCAGGAGTAGTGCCGTCAGACTGATGTACTTCACAGATCATTTCAGTCTATGAGAAGGGGTAGTAGTCTTCTTGTGAGGCGCACAGGAGAATTAGTTGGACTAATGTTGAGTCCAAGATCCTAGGGCTTATAGTAATGTGACGCTTATCTGGAGCTGGGTAACAGGAAACTCGATAGAAGTAGACACGTTTCAGAGCTGGT